CCATGGACAGAGAGGTGAATCAGATGATCAGTATTCTGGCCTACAGCCAACCCCCTGCTGCTGCCACAGAATGCATGCTAGTGATTGAGAGGCGGCTGTGCTTTCACTACGGGTATAAATATGCGTGGTTTCCCCCCTCAACTCTCTCCATTCCCCTTCTTTCTTATTATCTCGCTCGCACTTGCTCCTTGCCTACTCTCTCTCGTCCTGGCAGGATGATTCGAACCCGCAGACAAGCCATGGCCGCTGAAAAGGCCAATGCTCTTAACCTGCGTTCCAGAAGAGTCAACCGCGCACACGCATCCCATCGTTCCCCTATAGCTCGTTCTCGCCGCCATCTTACGCCCACAAGGCCACAAACCCATGGGGAGGGTGACAACCGTAGCTCACCCAATCTGGGGGAGGATCGGGATCAACCTTCTCTTGATGACATGATGGAATCAGACATGCACCAACGTGTTAATGATAAGGGTAAGCACTTGCAGCTTCTCTCGCAAACATATCTAATAGGTGAGCTTAGCCCAGGGACAAAGTTTGAGCAACCACGATGTGGCTCCCTGCTCTGATGGCAATGCGGAAGTTACTCTTGCCGACAGTGTAGCTTTGGCGATGGAAAACACATACGACGACAAATGGAACTACCACGGCCCCATTGACCGTCGATACTGCGATATCCATGATGAAAATGAGTATCTATGTTGCTTCGACCCTACTTGGGTATCGCCGTGGAACTTCGATGATCCAGAAGTGGCGAGATCAAAACTGGAGGAGCTGTACAGCATCAATCAGCAGAATCCGCAGGAACCATGGTCCTCGAGAGTTGGGTGCGATGTTCCTGAACTGCTGGACCATATTTCCTGTGTGACGACGAGGGGAACAAGAGGAGGTATGAGCGTTTACTTTGCTCACTGGAAAGGCCAATGGTTCCGAAAGAAGAATGTTGGAAAAAGAGAGTATGGACCATGGGAGCGAAGCTACAATATTAGTGGTGGTGATAAATTTGAGATGAGTCAGATAAATTGAACATTTTGTCACTTTTTCTTTCCTTGGTTCCTTCTGCAGTTGACAAGTGGAAGGTGGTGGCCTGTATGACTTCTTGACGGGGGAAATGAAAGCTAGTAATTAAAAATTAATTTCACAGCTCTTCTCTTGTTAATCTGCATCCAATCCAAGTCTCATTGATCGCTCCGGCTGGTGGCCGTCTCAGCAGTAGAAAGGCAGAATGCTTTTGCATGTCATGATTCGCGTCCGACATCGCTGAGGTCAAAGTATGTTCTTCAAGCGGGTTCGTGAGCATCAGGAGGCAGAGAGGTCTGGGCGTTCTCTCCCGAGGCAATAGTATCTGAAGTGTTTATATGGAATTTCCAACTCTGGAAATGTGTGTGCTGGCCAGGATAGATATAATGAAGAAGAAATAGTAAAGTGAAACGAAACCAAACATAGAAAATGAAAGAGGAGAATTGAAGAAAATGGAGAGAAATGAAGACTTCAATCAAATCCAAGCAGTTAACTAACTAGAAATAGAAAGGTTTCGTGAGATTAGGCCATCTGACTCCTATTGATGGACCATGCCAGAGGCACGCTAACCCGATCCATTGTTTCTGCTTCCCACCTTCCTCTCCTTCACCATCCACGACCCGTGAAAGATGGCCCACCAAATTAGCCAGAGGCTTAGACTAGTTGCAGATGAGATTGATATTTTTGTCACTATACATGGAGATCGTCCTATTGAGAAACTTTTAGATGATGGAAAGGTAAAACGTCCGGTTTTTGAGTGAAAGTAGTAGCCAACGCTAACAGAACAGTTTGCCGATTCTCTCCTCGAATTATCAGAAAATCTGCCGGAAGGGTGGAAGAAAATCCTCAGAGCGCCGGGGGGTGTAGAAATCCTTTGAGGGCTTCTCTCAAGGGAGGAGGAAAAACTAAAGGTTGTGCCGAATTCAGCGAGAGCGTCAGAGGGATTATATGGCTGCCAGCAGTTCCATCACTCCATCTCCTGCCGTCATCTTGGCATACGCCTCGTAACCCCCCGGAACCCGCTCTGTATTTCGTTGAAGGAATCATAATCACAAGGCCAGGGTGGGACTCATTGGCTCATCGATGATGATTGGGTCTTCTGCGAGAGTGAGTGAGGCGTGAGAAATGTTTACACAGCAGGTACTGAGCCTTACCAGCAGAACCCAAGCACTTCCACGGCTTTCCTTGTGTGCCATATCCGCGTGTTTGGGTCCTCGATGGGGTCGTCAGAGAAATCCGACAGTTGGAGTGACGGTGGGGGAACATCGACTGGGGGGGGGGCAGGATCCATTCGTTCCAGTTAATCTCATCGAGACCAGAGACGGTGGATGGCAGGGCAGAAAAATCAGCAAATACCTCACTTGCTGCATCCTTAGAGAGGTCGCCGGACGCAGAGAAGAGGGGCACGGGCACGGGTATGGGCATTGGAAGGAGGTGCTGGGGCTCTTCGTCTGACCGAGGATCAGGAGTGTACGCTTCCAGGAGGTGTACTGTGTTTAGCCGAGGCGAGGGAGAACCGTCGGCAGGTCTAGGGGAGGTGATATCGTACGTGAAGGTAGCCATGTTGCGAGATGAGATGATGGGATGCTCTTCTCCCCTGAATCTCGTTCCATGTTGCGTGGATCGCCAATCATCCACCCCGAAGAAGCCGCTGAACCGGGAAATGTTGCATTGATGGGGTGGACCAACGCAGAAGTGCTCCTGGCCACCACCCCCCATGCCAACATGGGCTTTCGTCCAGCGAATATGAGCCAGTCAACCTATTCAGCCCCCCTTTTCCCCCTGGCTCGAATCGACAAGCCGCTAAATCCGGGGACAAGGAGCATGGGGGTGGCATGCACGAGGACGGCCGAACTTAACCCAACCATGTGTGCCAGTCAAGAAGTGCGCCTGTTGGTGTTTTCACTTAGAGTCGAGACATCCATGGAGCACAGAGGCGAAGCCATGAAGCAATATCCGAGGCGCGACCTGCATCGAGGCTTATCATTTT